TTGAAATGCATCCGTTTATATTTGAGATTGAAGTGGACTAACCATACCTTCCTGTTGTCAGCAGAGATGAACTCTCCTGGAAGGTATGGTCGACTGGCATACTTATTCCTGAACGCCAGTGCGGTTGCCATTAGCGCCTTCAAAAATAAAGTGAACCTCGTTGTAACCCCTGAGATACAAACAGAAAATAACACTTGAGTGTTTATTCTACCTTATAAGCGCTAATAGTGAACCTGGTTCTCTGTCGGACTCGCTCCGTGGGCTGCAGAGGATGTCCGTGCGGGTCCGTGGCTTTAACTAGTACAAATTCACTGCCACACGGTGACAGCTGTAAATGAGCTCCGTGTCTGTAATGAACTTCCACGGACTCGTCCTCATACATCACCATCGAGCTGACACCCTCTGCGGTTCCCATTGTGGGATGGTGCTTTCCTAAAAGAAACTGACAACGTCCTCAGGTGGAGCCATTTGACTATTGGCGCGCTGTAAGCGAGGGAGTCATGTGACCGGAAGCATCCTCCTCAGTGGCTTACTGTAGGATTACAGCTACAGAGTGCCACCTACTGTACAAAAGACGGTACGACATCACAGCGATTTCCCTCTTTTCATTGTCTCTTCTGTCTCTTCATCTGTTCTTAACAGATGCGCATTTAGTCATATTAGAGCCTAGGGTAAAACATGCGCCCATTTCCATTCTGAGTAAAACATCTGACTAATTGCTGTTTATTGGCACATTTGGGAAAAGTGGTAGAAGGCAAGTTTAAAACTTAGTTTAGGTAGTTTCTACAAAGACAGTCCTATTAAAGGTATTTAATTATTTATTATACTGGCATTATTCTTTACTCTTGCTGCTTGACTTGGTGTATAGCATTTGCTGTAGATCTGCGTCTATTTAACAAGTCACATCAGGCTAGTTTTTGGCTCTGTGTCAGCCTGGTTTTCCTCCTGTGATTATTTTCTTTTTACATTGAGTAAGGCTAGTGTTCAAAAGGAAACAACTTTTGATTCTGACTTCACTCTGGACTCTATTAATAATTAATTACCCTATTAACCATAAAGAAGGGGGTGGGATGGGATGTGAGGATGTAAGTGTGCACAGTTGTGATGGAGGAGACAGGCTTTTTTGTCCATTTAATTAAAGTGTTTCAAGGAAAAATAAAGTTGGGAATATGTTTTGCAGGTATGGTGTTCTTCTGATGACGAGTTTTTTTTATTTATTTATTTTTTACCAATATATGAAACCTTTGTCTAAATGTTCAAGAATATTTTGAAAGTGAATCCTAAGGTGTCTCAGAAAAGCTTGACATAAACTGCTTCCTCTAATAGTCTTTTTTTATACTTGATTTACTCAAGATACTAGACATTATTTATATAAATATTTTGGCAGGATTCTACACTTTAGAGTGTCAGTATATTAGTTTAATTTAATTTAATTTAATTTAATTTCTATTAATCATTAAGTTGTGGCACATTTCCCCTCAATGTAGTCCTAATTTACATTGGTCAAATAATGCACTGTCTTTATTTGACCAATGCATTCAATGCATTATATTTTCTATTTCAGTTGCTTTTTATAAATTGAACCACTTCTACTAATATAAGCCATGTTTATTATATTGTTACATCTATTTGTAAGGTTTAAATATGTATCAGTAAGGGCCCGAATGCCGTGAATGTTGGTTCTCTTTAATATGGGTGGGGCACAGTTGGGAAGCACTCCCGTTGATCTGTTAAAAAAAAAAAAAAAAAAAAAAAAAAAAAAAAAAAAAGGGGCCCTCCCCTTTAAAAACAGGCGGGGGGCCGGCCGGTTTTGTTTTTTTTCCGCGGG